ATCACCACAGTTGTATTCAGAGCTTTAAATAATCTTCACATAATAAATATGTGAAGATTTTCAAAAAAGTACATTTTTAGTTTATTTTACACATATTACTTTGTAATTAGTAAATAGTTGAACCCAACGACTAAGCCCACGGGCTGCCCACACGTCCGTTACACAACAAATGGACAGACAAAGTATGATTCATGTATTTAAAGTCAATGAAGCATCATGAAATATAGACTTTTTTACTAATTGTTAAGAATATATTCTAATTTATGCTGATTGTATTTGAGTAGGTAAATAGGTGTTTCTTAAAGGGTTTCTCCATGTGAACTATTTAGTTTAATGTTCAAATGTTATATTTAACGTTCAGTATGATTTCAGCTCAATATTTTTATGTGATATAGATAATATTACTTTAGTCGTCACATTATTACATGAGTTAGGTTGTTGTAGATGTAAGTTTTAAGCACTCTTGTTTAGTTTTTCGTTGTTTGATCAATCTTGAGATGTCTATCCACCTGTGTGTTGCGCGTAATTACATTTTTGTGACAAGGGCGCCTATGAACTCGAGACTTGTGAGAGAAGGTTAATGACTGGCAGATTTTTTCTTTAGCACGCGTTGATAGTGAAGTCAATATATTCGAGCTCAAAGTGAGTTTGGCAGATTTGTTGAACTGTGAATCTCGCTTTTGGTAAATATAGTTGTATTTTCTTCTACGGTAAGGTTGTGGTGATCGGAAACCAATTGTTGTCTTGGTTAGTAGCCTTTGCGATCACATAACTATCAATTAGTCCATTGTTTTATAACTAGATAACAATTACTAACTAGTTTTATCTTACGTTTCTTCTGCTTATCTGCTGCCGTCTTCAGGGACATCCTGAGTAGAACTGTTTATGTGTTTATGGTATCCGGGATTCGATCCTTGGTCTTCTTGATGGAAATCTGGTGCATTATCCACTCTGAACTTATGTTATTTACATATCCATCTTTACAAAAAAAACGAGTAATTACTTCCAGAAAAAAACAAAAACTCATACGTTGTTTACATACACCTTTGGCGCAGGGGAATGTGTCTATATGTCTGTAATTGTCTTCTTTATTTTTTATTATATATTCCGACTACCAGGGTTGTAGTAGTGTGCTGTTTCTATCCTCTAGGTTTCCTCGGAATTACAAATATTGAAACTAGGCAGTCTATGACGCCTATATTTAAACTGTATGATTTATGGCAGTTTGATTTATAGTCGAGCTATTTAACAATAACAGTGGGTTTCTTGTAAACTTTTGTAGTGTACAAAGTGTGTATATTATTAACTCACGCCAAGTAATGAGAGTTTGTTGTATATATTTATTTCCATTGTGAATTGTAGCGCTAGATGTTAGTTGGTCAGGTGTTTCATGAAGTTTGGAATCTTATATGTAGTGTGTATCATCATCAAAACTAGTGAGCTAAGTCGTGGATATAAAGCAGCTGTTTTTAAGGTGCTAACTTCGGCATGTTTCATCTATATGTTAATGACTACTGTTGTTAGGATAAACAAATGACTAGGCTTCTTGTTGTTGCAAGTATTTATCTTCATGTTGTAAGTAGGTTTTTAGGGTAAACACATGGTTGGGCTTCCAGTTGTTGCTGGTATATATGTTAATGTTGTAAATAGATTGTGCGTATTGTTTTTGTGGAGACTGTCAGTTGGGTGTGTTCCTAGAGATTTCTATCATTAACAAGCTGTTTTTCAAGTACTTGTTTATCAAGTGTTGATACTGTTGTGTATCTGCTTGTTTGTTAATTTCTGGTAGAAATTCTTTCCGATGAACTTCAGCGATACAAGTCCTTTCTTGATTAAACCAGTTTATTCTTTCTCGATACCAACTTTAGTACACAGTAATTTCACAATCAGTACGTTTCTCGTTACTTTAAACTTAACAACTTGTATAATACACGCTATAAGTCACAGCGATTCACAATCTCGATAACACACACCAGCTCGAAACAGAATCGTAAATTACCCGGAACTCTCTTCATTCCATACCACAGGTTCATTCGTTTCTAGCAGTTATTTAGATTTAAAAATAATTAGTTCCGAAGAAATAATTACTAATCTAGGGTGCTCGAAGATTAAACAATCCTTTTTCGCCCCGCGCGTGGCCTAGGAATATGGGCTTAACTTGAGAAAACAGGAAATTAATGCAGACAAGGTATGTAAATATAAAAAGGTAAACGTGAGAGTAACGGAATAATAAAAAGTGAAGAGCAAAGCAGACTAAACTAAACGGCCCATATCGGACTGATAGTCCATCAGGGCGGCGGCGATCTAAAAATCCTATGCCGATAATTTACTGTTGGGGGAAACTGGAATACCCCGAGAAAACCCACTTTCACTGGTAATGACCAATTCGTTACCAGTGCCCGGTTAGCGAGAAGAAGTAAGTGGGGAAAGCGAAGTGAAATCCGGTGCTGGGGGGGGGGGGTTTGATTAGCTTCTGAATGAGTTGTGGAGTCTCCTGATGTTCGCCATGGTTTTACTGTGGAACAGGTTCCGGTTCCAGGCAGGTGGTAAAGGCGTGGGGTCCTCGGTATCGGTGTCGTTGGAAGACACAGAAAGGTTCGTCAGGTAAGTAGAAATCGGGGGAGGTGTCAATTACTAAGGTATTCGGCAAGATTGACGACGATGATGTGGACAGTGGCTTAGGGCTGGGAGGCGGGTTATTGGTATTTTGATAGGTGTCGTTGGTAACTATGAAGACTTGCGGCTGGGTCTGGGTGCCTTTTTTCCTCCTAGTAGTGGTGGTTTGGGTTAACATGTCTTGAGATTCAGGGGTGGGTGAGATTTGAGTAGCTTAGTCTATTGTAATAGGATGGGCGGTAGAGTACTGATTGGCGGTGGTTTTCTTTAAGGTGTTGAGAAACATGGGCTTGGGGGGGGGTTAGGAAAGGTATGGGGTGGGTGAGGTTTACGGTAAGGTTTTTCTGCCTTAAAATGATGATAATCAAAGTAGCAACCGTGGGTGAGGTTGAAAGCTGCTATTGTTTTGGAAGTTGTGACAACTTTCATGAACGTGGAGGGTGAACCTGTTTTCTCTTTCTCTGCCAGGCTTATATACTAAAAAAAAGAGGGCGTCTCAAACAAACTTGGTATTCCCCAGTAATTCATGATCATTCGAGAAATTCATCACGTGTTACCAGCGTCACGTGTCTTCTGCTGTCGTATCACTACATTAGGAGAGGTTGGATACGTCAAAGCTGATTAATGTGTCTTGTGAGGTTATTGTGGTTGTTCGTACAATCTCTACAAAATGGAGTGAGTTCTTAACATGTGAGAATGTTTTACTTGTTAATGATGATGTTATATTTACCAAATATCTAGATAAAGTTAATAACTACTATAACTATGGGATGTTAGTTTTAGGTAAACCATAAGTACTGTTGAATACAATTAGTTGTTCTGATGATTCTTGAGGAGTTGTTTTGGTTAATTGTCTGTTCTGTGTTAGACTTTATCTTCGTGTAATACTTATCTTCAGCTTGAAACAGTGTGCTATCCACTCGACAGAGGTCTCCCTCATCAGAACTTGAATCAATTATTTGAATGTTTTCTAAAAGAGTATCTAGGTTTTGTTGACTAAGTGTATTATCAGTTATGTAGTAATCTCCCAATCAGTTATGTGTGTGGTTCATATACCATTATCTTAATGTTGTTCCATTTTATTGAATGGTCTTTTCTGGCATGAGAGGCTACAGCAGATAGATAGTTTTATATGTTTATTATGCTTGTGAATTAGAACTTGTGTTTTTGTTGTGTGTTTTTTTCATTGTTCTGAGGTCCACATTCACTATATACACTACAACTGGTCCTTTGGTTTGTCGTGTATAACTGTGAATACTGTTCCCTCTTTATTCTGTTTATATATATCTGTTAATAATCAAGAAGTTTGTACTTTTAACCAAAAATTACAAGAGGAAATTAATCCATTTAGATTAAAAGTTTCTGAGGAAAATAAATTCCTCGTCTCGTGGTTGGCACAAAAATTATCACTTGTTTTTCAACGAAATTGAGTTCATGTGACACAAAACATTGAAAGTAATTCAGCGATTTAATTAAAGAAATTTTTGGGGTGAAATTTTAATTTTTATCGATGGGTGCGAGTTTTAATTGCAACATCGGAAAATACCGGGTCTCGTTTTAAAAGTTTTATCATGACCACGGTTTGGCTGAGATACGTTGATAATACATTCGTAATATATGTTCATACACTAAAGACAAGATTCCAGACTTCACATGGCCCGGAATGGCCAGGTGTTTAAGGCATTCGACTCGCAATCTGAGGATCGTGGGTTCAAATCCCCGTCCCACCAAACATGCTCATTCTTTCAGCCGTGGGGGGGCGTTATAATATCAGGGTAAATCCCACTATTCGTTGGTAAAACAGTAGCCCAAGAGTTGGCGATGGATGGTGATGACTAGCTTCCTTCACTCCAGTCTTACACTGCTAAATTAGGGACGGCTAGCGCAGATATCCTTCGTGTAGCTTTGCGCGAAATTAAAAACAAACCAATCTAGATATCAAGAACCACCTGAACAGACAACATCTGTATTCGTATACCCTGGCGACGAGATTAATTTGACACAGTATACGACAAAGATGAACGACCCACGGCTTGCTTGTTGTTTATACAATGTCGCATACAGCACAAATTTTGTTGGAAATTTTCACACGAGCATGACAAGTTATTAATCTTTTTATTTAATTTGTAATGACTTGAACCCTTCTTCTTTCCTACATGGACTTTGTTTTGTACGAGTCAGTAGTTAGGATCTAAAACAAATAAAAGATTCGACTACGATAGCAAAAAAATAGGTGCTGTACAACGTCTAATTTTTGTATGAGTTTATCTACTTTTTCTTTTTCTTTACTTGAGAAATGAAAGGGGGGTGGGGTAATCTGAAGCCCTTTATCTTTTCGTTATCATTTGATTAGAATGTGAGCGTCACAAGCAAGGTAATGTTTTGTCAGGCTTTCACCCTAACCACGTACACAGGCTCACGAGGCTACTGGTGTTATTTGCTCATAGTTCGGAAGCCTACTTACAACATTTATCCGAGAAAATCAAATTACATATAAGTTATATTTGGTAAATATGGAGCTGACGAATAAGGTAGTCCTTGTGACTGGAGGTGCCCAGGGGTTAGGTAAAGCTATATGTGAGAGCTTCTTGGAGCGAAAGAACAAGGTAAGTCTGGAGGCGATTTTCTACCTGTTCAATTCTGTTCTGATGGATCATGCTAAAACCGCAACCCACAGTGAAATGTGATTACCTACGAAATATTCTTTAGAGGATTTTCACAGAGGCTGCATCGATCGAGTTAAAGTTTCCACCTGGTGAATATACCTTTAAGAGTTAATCTCTATTATACGTTAAGAAGAAGGTAGTACTAACATCCGAAACCTAATCTACTTTATGGATTTTTCTAACTAAACCATTGATAAAATCAGATAGAATTTCGAGTAACTAATCTCAAACATTTAAGTAGAACAATTACAAGCGAGTTTTTTAGGCAACAGAATTCATACAATGAACCTTTGGATACACAGTCGACTGGGCTACACTCGGCCCTTTTCATTATTAACTGTCAACTTTGAATGATAAGTGTTACAATAGCACAACCAACTGTTTTAGCTCCAGAACTGTAGTAAACCTCTACTTACAATCGCACAACCAACTGATTTAGCTCTAGAACTGTAGTAAACCTCTACTTACAATAGCACAACCAACTGTTTTAGCTCCAGAACTGTAGTAAACCTC